CCCCAGGAGTACCACTGAGTTTCCCTCACAGATTATACCTGATCTACAGCTATGAATCATTTTAAAATCTCAGTAATCCACTGATGACAAATAGCTCCTAACCAGAAAAACATTCATCTGAATGGTGTCTTTAGCAGTTTGAGCTCAAACTAATGGTGCCATCTAGTGGATATTTGGAAACAGTACAGTGAATCAGTCACTGCTCTGCAGGAAATTCTCAGTTGAAGAGCTTTTCCAGCAAGATACAATCACCAGGGAATACAGATAAATATTGATATTGTAGTGAATATGGGGCTAGTGAGGTTAGTTCAACTCCAACTGTTTGAGGAAACTGATTGCTTTAAAACATTTAAGTTTAATAACTCAAACTATTTAAGTATGAAAAAAATATTTGACTTGAGTACAAATTATTGTAACTAAACAATTCATTATCCAAATCCATTCATCAAATCACAAAAATAGAAAAGATCCTAAGCTACACAGCATTAACACTGTGGGGCTCACATTTTTGTAATGATATTAAGTCAACTTAAAGAAAATGGGTCAATGGAACAAACAATTAAATGGCCCATACTTAAAATACTGCACAGATTCAAGTGCACTGAAAACAATTAAGTTATTCAACAATTATTTTTGAGTTTGAGGTTTAATTCATGGGAATGAGTGACTCAAAAACAAAGTAACGTTAACTCACTTCTTTTATCAAGATATGCTCTCTTACAGTGCATGTATGAACAAACAGTGTATGATATGCATGACTAGACAATAAGCTGCTGCTCCTCAGTTCTTGGGAATGCTAGGGACTGATATTAGAACTTACCTAAAACTAAAATAGCTGTTTTAACAGAGAAATTAACAGTATAACAACTTAAAAATAACACACTTCCTTTGCTGTATTACTAACATAAGTTTTCTTTTTTAAATTAATTTCATTTGTTTCATTTTGTAAATTATTTGATGTTTTTTAATTAAACGTTTACATTAAAATTGTGTTAATTCGAAAATTGTGTTAATTCAAAACAAACATTCTATTCATAATCTTATTTTTATTTGTTTATTCATTTGCACAAGTTAGAAAAAAACAAATGAAATAAAAGGAACAGATAATATGGTACAGAGAGAGAAAAGAGCCCTACAAGGGGCAAAAGAAAAGTATGACGATACGTATCACGATATATAGTGGTTACAAATCAATATATTGTGATACTGTAAGCAAGACAATATATTGCAATTTCTTTTTAAAATCGAATTTTAGGATTTGCATTTGTATTTATCACAGTCGCTGCAGCATTCAACATCATTGCCTTCAGTTTACAACACTGCTCTCTAGCATTGGGAATATAAACACAAAAGTCGATAGTGTTTTTGAAAATCGATACAATATCACAAAAGTATTGCAAGTGTATCAATATTTTTTTTACATCCCGAGAAAGAAACCCTCATTACCATAGGGATGGAAGAAACATCAGTTACTTTGATCCTGGCAGATAGACCTGACTTGCTTCCATACTGAAAAGCTCTACTGGTATGGCAAAC